GCTTTTAAGAATTGTCTCCTCTCAATTGACAAAGAGAGACTGCATAAAATATTTTCTACATTTGGTAAAATGATGCCTTCGCTTGAGCTCTTCTACATTTAACTTCTTTAATAGTACTCAAGTATTATGAAATTATTAAATATATTTATTACCTTCTGTTGCGGGGGCTACTCAACTTTTTACCCGGGGGTCAACATTTTTAAAAATGGGGATACTCACTGCTAGGGGCCCAAACTTCAGCACAAAAAGATCAGGAGTAATTCAACACAACTACAACTGGCAGGGCCTTCAGTTGAAGAGTTCGGCTCTGAGACACAGCCACAAATGTCACAAATGTAATAAAGAACTCAAACACACAAACCAGCAAGAAAACAGAAAACAACAAGCAACAGAATGCCAAACTTCATGCAACAGATAAACCAAAGACTATCGGACACACGTGTGGTGAATATTCACACACAAGTGCCCAAGGTTCAAACCTGAGTCCCTTGGCCAGGCATAGAGCTCTGGCTGGAGGTACTGCCCTGGCTGGCCATCGTGCTATACTGGCGTTGAGCTGACATTGCCTGGTGTGTGTTGGACAAATTGTTAGTCCTGAATCCACATTATTAACTGATTCTAAAGTAAGTAGTCAAGTTTTCCCAAATACCAGGACATACTTATCATCAGCATACTTAATAAAGATGTTTTAAAGTTACTTATCAGTATCTTTTTCTCTGTGTGGGTTGAACCCATTTTTAAGTGGAAGGGTCCCAGCCCACTTCCCCTTAAAAAGCATTTAATAAAAGACAAGGCTTTGCTAAAATAATGTTGCGCCAAGGGTACAGATTTCACAGCCTAGCTGTTAACCACAAAACAGTAAAACCAACTGGCTTTTTAAGGGCTAACATGGAAGAAAAAGATACTAGAGTCTGAACATTACCTTTATGTTTTCTGTCTTGATGAAGGTTTTCTAGCCACAAAACCTATTCTCTTGTGAGAGTATTACTACAAAGCCCAGCTGTTGGGATGGTCATGAAAGGTCCGGAACGTGCCATTCTATAACTTTCTGTCTTGAACCTTCTCCTTTATTTCCATGAATGTCTGCATTCACTGATCTGTAATTCTATAAGCTTGTGGTCTCTTGCTACGTATGTGTCCCGGTATTCTGCCCTCTAGCAGTCTCTTTGTTTTCAGACTCCCTGTGTGGGTCCTGGGGCTCCGTGTAGAGGGAAAAACAGAACAGACCCACTGCCCCCCCCCCTCCCCCCACTTTAACAAGCATGTCATAAGAGTCAACTAATTACAAGTCTTAGTCGAGGTTTCAAATTCACTGCAATCGGGTCAACCCATACTTGCTCCGTTCCTGTGCCGTTGAAAATCAAATAAAATGTCCCTCACTGTCCCATTTGAAAAACTGGTGAGCAAACAATCAGTCCCGGCACAATCCAGAAATATGTGCATGCAGTAAATGCATATGGCAGTTGCTAGAGGCGCCGATGTCAACAGTCACCACCAGAAATGCAGTTTGTCTTTGACGGAAGTAGTCGGGCACAATTGCCATACACACGTAGAATTATTACATAAGGTATTTCACCAGCCCCCAATTAAACCAGCTACCAGCCATATTGAACACGGCTCGAAGGCAAAACACAGCTCACAGGGCTGCACCAAGCGCTAAGCTCATTAGCAAAGCGCTGTCCGAAGCAAAATAACTTTTGCCATGCCCAGTCCTCCATTTTAGGAGTGTTTCCTTCAAAGTCAGAGTTCATCGGCCTGAGAGGTGAGGAACCAACAGTCTACACACAAATTAGTCAGCTCTGTAAAACGAATGTGCACGCAAAACTCAAGTTCTGGAAGAGGACCAAAGTCCAGAAGATGAAGAACAACTAGAACTTTCCGCCAGAGTTTACAGCCGGTGAATGTAAAGATATAGAATACATCCATGTGCACAGAAGGGAGAGACATGTGCCAACACACACATTATTAGTAGGAATATACCAACACAGAGAAGTAGGAAAAATATGTCAACACTAACGAAAGGGAGAGATATATACCAAAATGATGTTAAGGACATACAGCAACATATACACAAAACTGAGAAATATACCACTGTACATAGAAGATGAGAAATATACCAACATACACAGAGCGGTAGAAGTATGTCAACACATAAAGAGAAGGACAAGTTAGAAGTACTGAAGAAAAGCACTGACAGATGTATGATATAGACAATGACAACAGCTGGCTACAGTAAGTTAGAAATAACAATTATAGAAGGTTTGGTCCCAGAAGGAAGTAGCAGAGGATGTCCAATACAAAGGTGGACCCCAGTCATTAACCCTTTCGCCCCAGTAAACTGAAAAAAATCACTGAACACACACACAAATCAGAACAATTGAATTTTTGGACCAAACTAATATTTGACTGCAAACAAATTAACAGGCGTATGTGAATGTGGCAAAGAAGTGTCTGGCTTACATCTTCCACAGCAGCTTTAAAAACATGTTTAGCCTGACCTGTTCTTGACCTCGCGACCTTGCTGCCAGCTACTACTGTAACTAACAGGAAATTCTGGTGTCCTAACTTTTATAAATAACAACATGGAAACCCCGACCAAAATGTTATTTTTGTTATTAACAACTAAGCCTGTTCCTGATCAATATAAAAAATTGCCTGGCAACCCAAAAAAAAAAAAAAAAAAAACAGGCAATGCCGTTAGTGGGGCTGCTCATAAATAAGCCTTTACAGCAAGTCAGGAAAATGACATGAGGGGGGGGGGGGGGGGCGGGGGTGGGGGGGGGGGATGGCACAGACCCGAAGCAGTGGATTTTGTGCTTCTCCAATGTCAGGGTTAAAGACACCCTGGTTATGAAAATGCATGAGGTTAGGGAACTGGCAAAATATCTGCTGGGCAGCGAACGCAGCAATATTCTGCAAAAAACCTGTTACAAAAGGACGATGATGTTTTAGCACACCAGCTGTATCACAATTTGTTCAACCATGTTTAAGCTAAGTAAGCAAGTGAAATATGGTATTAATGGCATGCAGTGGCAAAAAGGTGCAGTCAGTGAAACTGGTAATAGAAATCAAGCACACTGCTTCAACCAGGTCGTTTTTTATACTATTCCTCCCTGGCTGAGTGGAAATATATATTTGATTGATCAATAAACACACAGGAAGGAATAGAATGTTGAAAGAAAAATAAAAAGGCACACACTGAAATATGTTAGGTGATAGACAACACAGTACAACAACGAACGTACCACCATGTCTGGAGTTTGCTGTGTGGTTACATCGAGCAAGAGAATGGATAAAAATAAAAAATAAAAGTTAAAGTATACTTTAACAACCACTAAAGATATGAAACGAAAGTTAAATGCATTTGAAAACAAATGCGTGAGGGAAATGATTAACATAAAATGAATTTAAGAGGAGCAAAGAAATAAGAGAAATCTCTGGGCAACCATTAGCACCAACAGCCATAAAACAGAGAAGATGGTGCTATATTGGATATTTTCTGAGGCCTGAAACAGAAAATCACCAAACAAGCACTGAAATGAGAAACAAATTGACTGAAGAAACCCCAAGGTGAATGTTGATGAGAAAGGGTCAAAGATGCTGGACTGGATTCTACTCATGATATCCAAGTGATTGCACAATATAGACTTCACAGTTCTGAGGGACGGCAGACACATAATTTAGAGACCGGACAGATCCTACAGTCTTTAGGCAGAGAAGATCTCTAGTTTTGAGACTGGGAAAATCCTAGAACTTTGAGGCTGGGTAGATTCCAGGAATTTTGATGGATGGATCCCATAGTTTTGAGGCTTGGTATACCCCATAGTTCTGGGGCTGGGTATATCCTATAGTTCTCAGGCTGGGTTTATCCTAGAGCTTTGAGGTTGGGCAAACACCAGAATTTAGAGGCTTGGTATACCCCATAGTTTTGAGGGTGCGTATACCCCACAGTTTTAAGGCTGGGTATATCCTTGTGAGGTAGGGTATGTCCATGTGAGGCTGGGTAGACTCCAGAATTTAGAGGCTTGATAGATATCACAGTTTTGAGGCTGCGTATATCCTTGTGAGGCTGGGTGGACTCCAGAATTTAGAGGCTTGATAGATATCACAGTTTTCAGGCTGCTTATATCCTTGTGAGGCTGGGTGGACTCCAGAATTTAGAGGCTGGATAGACCCTATAGTTTTGAGGCTGGGAATATTCTTGTGAGGCTGAGCAACTCCAGAATTTATAGGCCGGATTGACATCACAGTTTTGAGTCTGGGTATACTCCAGAGTTGTGACACTGGGCAGAACCTAGATTTGTGAGACAGGTAGATCCCAGAAATATAATTTCTGGTGAACATTAGAGATATTAAGCCAAGAATCAAACTTCAGATTCAAGGGAGAAGAACCCCAGGCCAAAAGGTGAATAAGAAAACAACTATGTTAGTACAGCTGCACACGCAATATGGAGATAGGATCAAGTCCAACAGAATGGTCTACTATGACAAAGATTACTTCCAAGGAGGCAGCTGTGCCTGACATCACTAATCACAACATGATACACATTAGACAACAAAAAGTGCAGACAGACACAGGGTCTCCTCGACCTACAACTGACTAACAGATGGTTCCGTTCAAACAGGTCATAAGTTTAACTGGTCATAAGTCTAATTTACATCTGTTTTCATTCAAACAGGTTACAACAATTGTACATAAAACACAGAAATTCAATCTATGTACGTATGTATAATTACTGTACATGATGTGAAACATACATCACATGTACTCTACTGCACCAGTTCCGGGAACTTCTTTACCCTACCAATGTATATACCTTTCTTTATTTAATATTTGTATTTATTTATTTGTCATGGTCGTAAAGTATGGATGGTCGTAAGCTGCAAAAGCCGTAAGTCGAGGAGTAGGTGTGGCCTACATGTGCTTCAACTGGGACAAAGAAGGAACAAACAAAAGGTCAAAGTACTAAACAAACAAATGGACACACTGTTGTACTTACATTTCTCATAGAATCTCCACCTATCTGTTGGAGCTCTGTCTCATTCTCCTCCACCCCAACCCTGAAAAACATACACTAGGGGTTAACAATGGTGGATTTCATTAACCCTGTCACTCAGAGAAGCTGCAAAATCAACCCTTCCAGTTGGGTTCAATTCACCTTAAATGTCCTTTTTCTGACTTGTATTTAGCGACCTGTTTACAAGACACATTGTTAATTCTATTGCCTGCGCACATTTATGATGTCAGGATTTGAGTACATTAACTAGAAGTAGCATAGGGGGTGGATACGTTAAACTAAATAGCTTTTTTAAAGCCAAGTTGATGTCTAATGTTCCCATAAATCTCAGTAATAGAGGTCACAGGGTCACAACTCGAGTCACCAAAAACAAGTATTTCATGTTAGTTAGTAAGCTGACAGATTATCCTGAGTACCTGAGGGAATGTCCAGTGTACAGTGATGTCAATTCTTGATTTATTTATTCACAGGTCCCATTGTGGTCCTGTTATCCTAGTTGTCGGATGGTTTTTCCTCATTTGTACTGGTTGTAGTAGGCGTACATGTGATGTCTTCTGTCCAGTTGTCTCCTTAATGTTATTTTTCAGTGTGTTCTATTATGTGTTCCTGAGTCAGTTCCGTCCTATTATAATCATTGTTGTTCCTAGAAGGCAACACAGGACAGCTAGTGCTGTCGCAACTTACTGCTGAGCTACCCCCATTTATTGTTTTAAAATTGTGAATATTTAAAGTGCTAAAAGTGCTGAAATCAGTTTTTGGTGTTGGATAGATTTTTTTTTTTTAAATTGTATAATTCATGGTCGATCATAAATAGCAATGGAGACTGTTTGACAGAAATCAAAAGGAGGATGGTCACAGTAATGCAAAGATTAAACAGCATTGAAAGTTTATGGTTAGGCTCCTGCAAAGAAATCAAAATTAAAATTTTGAGAGCATGCATCTTCCCTGTAGCAATATACGGATGTGAGTTGTGGACTATCTCCCAGTCCTTAAAGAAAATAGGGGCTTTTGAGCTGAAATGCTATAGAAAGATTCACAGAATACCATGCACACAAAAAAAGAGAACAAATAATGACATCTTGAAAGATCTGAATATCAAGGAAGATTGGCTAATAAACAGCATCTTGTCTCGGATGCTGAAATATTCTGGTCATGTCAAGCCCCATGGCGGACTGGAAAAATAATAAAAGAAGGCATGGTACCAGGAAGGAGGAGGGCAGGGGCTGACCAACGTGAAGATGGGCACAGGATATAAGTGACTCCTTGAGTAAGAAAGTGCACGAGGCAGGAGAGCTGGCAAGAGACTGAGTTTCCTTCAGGCGGACCGTGATGAGAGTAAGATTCTGCAAATGACCTGCTTAATGATGATGGTTGATCACAGTGCTGTGTATACATGTCTTCTGGTAACAGAATGTGGATTGGGCTCTGTCATGAAGACCGAAGACCAACCAACAAAGTATAAATATCCCGGGAGTATATTTATCATTTACCTGATCTGCAGCCACTGGAGCATGGGTGTGGTGAATCCACCACAAAGTATAACGGTGGCCAGCACTAGGGTCATTGTTGCGGAGGCCATCAGTTGCCTTCCTTCTGTGTCTGTGTCTCGGATAGCCAGAGCAAAGGCTATTGCACCACGTAGACCTGAATGATTAATGTTCATCTTAGTTTCATCGGTTTGCCTCTACTTCTCTCCTTGCTTTTCTCTCTTTCCTCATTTCATCCTTCCTCTTTTTTTTTCATACCACCACTCAATCTCTCCTTCTATCTCTCTCTCACTCTCTTTCCTTATCTCTCTAAATTTTTGTGATTTTCCCTCTATTTCCCCTTTATTCTTTTTAACTGTCCTCCCTTTCCCTTCACCCTTATCTCTTCTTGCTTCCCTCTGTCTCTATAATCTTCCTTTCTATACTCTACTCTCTTTTCCTACTTTCTTCATTTATTCTCCCTACTTTCCTCTTCTTTTTCTCTACCCACAATACCCCACCTTAATCTTTCCCTTTTCCTGCTCTTGCTTCATCCTTATTTTCTTGTAATTCTCTGTCCCTAAATCCTGCACATTCTTGGTCCTCCCCACTTTTCCTTCATCCTTCACAAATCCCCTTTTTTCTCTCCATCTACCTTTTCTCTTTTATTTCATCCCCTTCTCTCAATATCTGCATTCACATTCACCTTACCTTCTTTCAATTATATTATTATACACATTTTCCTACCTCAATTCCCTTTTTCTATCTTCTGTTTTTCCTTTCTCCCCTACCCCTCTTTCTCTCTCTCTGTTAACTCCCTCTCTAGCAATCTCTCCCTAACTTCTAATTTTCTTTACCCCCAATTTCTCCAAAATTGTGATCATCCCCCTCATCAATCTTTCTATCTTCATCTTTCACTCCCTCCTTTTCTCCTCCTCCAACTTCCAGATTATCATCAAGAAAATATAAACTCTTGCTTTTTACCTGAAAACATCATCATGTGCTGAAAGTTAGCTTTAATTTTGTTGCTTCTGCCCAGGTTTAGCAGGAAAGACAGCGGGTAAACATTGCAAAATCTGGCAACTATAACTGCTAGCTGGCACAGACAGTTAAGGAAATAAATTAATATAAAAGCTTATAATTACAATTCACATATCTACAACAAATTCTGCCCGTAACTTAAAGCCTGGAGTCCCAAAACTGATGAACTAGGAGGCCAGTACCTGTTTCTGAAAACCTGTTGGCCTCTTTACATTTTTCAAATATGAGTTGGGGGGTTGGGGAGGAGGGGATTTCTCCCAACCTGTCAGCATCTGTAACCTATGGTTACGAACATGATTTGTAATTCTGAAATACCCAGTTCACTTCAGTTGCAAGAGATTTGGCATCACACCTCTTTGCGTTAACTTTGAACATGGTATAGAGAGCCAATCATTCAGCAAGCAATGGCAAACCATATAGAATGCACAACTAGTAAAACCAAAGACAAGCTACAAATTCTGGGGTTGATTCGCGAGATCCCACAGAGGAGGGCTATTCCACAAAGTTGACTAAGGGGTCAAAATCTTGAAAATGGGGATCATCACGGGCCAGAGACTCGATCCGTAGCATAGAATAATCATTGATACAACTGGCATTGATTTGTGGGCCACTCGTTAGGCCTCTACGGGCCAGATTTGGCCCATGGGCCTACAGTTGAACAGCCATGCTGTAAAGGATAGGCAACTAACTTTTTTTCTTTCCACTTGGGTAATGGATCTCAAGCTTTTCTTCTGTCTCTTTGAGACAATGCCATGTAGGGTTGGTCATCATGACAATCCACAACCGTCCGTCTGCATGTTCCGTCAACCATTGTTTATATGATGCCAAACTGCCTAGCATCTATTCTCTTGGTCTTCCCTTGCCTTCCTATTTATCTTTCCTGATGTCAGCAGTAGCTATGCCATGAGAGACAGAGAGTGAGAGAGAGAGAGAGAGAGAGAGTGAGAGAGAGTGAGACCGCTGCTGCGAGAGAGAGAAAGAGATATCTATCAGAGAGCTAGAATGATCTAGAAACAGAGAGAGAAAACGCGCAGAAGAGCGCAGAGCGCGAGACGCGCCCCCTCGACGAGAAAGACAGAGAGAGCAGTCATAACACAGAATGAGAAGCCAAGCCTTATGGGAAAAATCTAAGTACGGTGAAGCTGATTTTCTCCTCTTTAAATAGCCTTTAAACCCAGGATCAATTATCAGCATACATTCCCTGTGGGGGTTTCAGGACCCTATTGTGGAAAAAAACAAAAAAAAATACCCCCCCCCGCCACACCCCCCCCCCCCCCCCCTCCCAAAGAGCATGTTGTAGGAGCCGACTAACTGGGGGGTTTCCTTCAAAGTCACAGAGCATCTTCCTGAGAGGCTATGGAAAAAAGTTTGCATACAAATAAACTGACTCAGATCTGTAAAGCGAATGAGCATGCAACCCTCATGTTCTGGAACAAGACTAAAGTTCAGAGGTGGATGAGCCACCAGAACTTTTCACCACAGCGGTGAACACGAAGAAACAGCGCACACTTAATCATCAAGTGCTGTGCAGACTGGCACGATCACTCATACCTCTCCCCCAATCTGCCATTCCCAAAAGCATGCATCAGTTGATGTGCTGACACCCCTCCCCATGCCACATTAAAAGTCTGACAAGAACAGCATACACAACACAGTTTTTAAAAAACAATCCACCAAACCAAAACTAAACTACACTCATTACTAGGTAAGGATACGAAGGAGGCAAATATGAAGCCTGCATGCCAGATGTGTGGCTCGAAGGTAAAGATGGACACACCAATGTACAGGAACACAAAGTTTTCAGACAAAAAGTTCATCAGCTCAAAAAGCTGAAACAAATGTCCAAATACATAATAATATATTAAACGTGCTCATTCTGTATACACTGTGATTAAAAAAACATGTACTAGAAGATAAAGAAATGTTTAACCGAAACATTAAAAAAAAATGTATAATAATCTAGTATTAAAACAATAATAATTTTACACCACTGGCACCTGGTGCTAGCTAGACCCATTTTTTAACAGGTAAACTGACACGTGATGATTTGAAGTCGTCACAAACCTTGACATCATGACATTTCCGCGGCCTTGACTGGGATGACCATCCCATGACAGTTCCTGCAGCCGAGGTAGGTAGGCTGGGGTGAGGGTAGGTAGGGGTAGGGGGGCCTATATCAGGGTGTTTTATGTGTATGTGTGTGTGTGTGTGTGCGTGCGTGCATGCGTGTGTGTGTGTGTGTGCCTGCGTGCGTGCGTATTGTGGTGCGGGGGGGGGGGGGGAGTATGTTTGTATATATGCTAAGGAAACCAGATGATTTATCAAATATAGCATCAAAGGTTGGACTACAAATAAGTTATGAAAAGACGCCAAAAACAGATCAAGCAGATATAAGACTAGAGACACAAGTTATTGAAGTAACAAATCAATTTACTTAATTAGGTAGTTATTTTGATAGTGAAGGAAACGAAAGAAAGAAATTATGTCACACATTGTCAAGGCATCAGCAGCTTTTAACAGCTTGAACAAAACATGGAACTGCAGAAACTGTAGTTTTAAAACCAAGTTACGTATTTTCAATTCTAATGTCATTTCAGTTTTAACATTTGCAAGTGAAAGTTGGAGATCCACTAAAGACACGGAACAACAAGTTAAATGCATTTGAAAACAAGTTTCTGAGGAAAATGATGAACAAAAAATGGGATGAATTCGAAAAGAGTGAAGAAATGCCTGGGCAACCACAAGCATTACCAGCAAACAGGCATTGGAATGGGAAATAAAGGGATTAAGGAGGTGAGGACACCCAAAAGAAACCCTAAGATGAATGTTGATGAGAGAGGCCAAAGCTGCTGGGCTTGATATTGAACTGGTTGCACAGGGTAGAATGGAATGAAGGAATAATTTGCAAGTACTATGTCACATATAATGGCACAACAGGATAATGAATGAATAAATATGTGGTTATTTTTAACATACACACCTGCTTGGTCCTATGTTTGGACTCCAGTGATAGGTTATTGTACGTATAATGAGCCTGGGTAATACCACAGAAGAGTACAGCCACAATTCCTGTCAGAGAGGCAAAAGCAATGATCAAACATCCAACTTCTTTAACCCTTTCAGTCTCAGAAATTGTGCAGGCTTTTATTTTAACCATTTTTATGTTAACATTGGACTGCAAGTGACTTTGAATAAGCAGTGTTAAATTGTAGAATATGACCTCTGGCAGCCAGGTTGTTGTTGTTGTTGTTATCGATCCAGCGGCACATGAGCTTTCGCCCTTTGGCCCAATGCCATGTAGTGGAATTTGCATGTTTTCACAAGCTGTTCTTTTCCTCCGTACAAGGTGTTCCACTTGTCTGGTCTCGGAGGGAGTAGCATTCTTCTTGTCTCACTGAGTTTTGGGCACTCAAAGAGATGGTGTTCAGCAGTTTCGTAGGGGTAGTTACATAGCTGGCACTCTGGGGAGTGTTGTGGCTGTATTCTGTTTAGGTGTCCATTGAGTGGAGTATGTTGCGTTCCAAGTCTGAAGATGGTGGCCTGGTCCCTTCTTGTTAGATGGTTAATGGCAGCCAGGTCGACCCAGCCTTAAATGGGTACCATGTGAAATCAGAAAAGGGGGGGGGGGATTTGCTGACCATATCACCAACTAAGTGCCGGTTGGTCCATAAAATATAGGTCTAGCCCTATATGCCCCACACCCCTGAAGGTGTGGAAAGGGGTCCTTTACTGTTTTTTTTTTTTTCAACTGGCAGTGGACAGGGGTTTCTGGGAACTCTACCTGCTTGATTCTCTTTCATGAGCTGTTATCTCTGCAATGTGTGCAGCAGTGACCTGTTCTCAAAAAGTGTAAATAGCTGGGTCCTATGTGCACCTGCACAGTGTTTAATGAATATACTAACTAAAAATAGTTTTCTGGGAAATTCCCATGAGTTCATGACTTTTTTTTTTAAAGCATTCACTGGGTGAAAGGGTTAATCCCACACACAGTCAATCCTGGACGGACAAAATGTGTTGTTGTTTTTTTTTTTATCTGAACCCTTTTGAATGAGGCTGACACAGAGATTCTTCTCCACAGGGACTGTGATGCACAGCTCTTTCTTCCTTCTGGAAGCTCAGAGTTGATGTGTGCAAGACCTGTGCTAAACCTGCATAACTGCCGAGAGACATCCCAGGTTATGGTTGAGCACTGAACATAGACCGGTACAGATCAGGTCTTGGCTGGTGACAAGAACAAAATATAATAATTTAAAAAAAGGGTCATGGCTACGGCAGGGCTATTCAACTGGCAGCCACGAATCAAATTTGTCACACAGAGACCTAGCAAGTGGTCCCTGGATCATCTACCAACTGTTTTATACTAATGATCTTCTCATGCTGGGGGCTCTGGCATCTGGTCCATAATAATCACCAAAGTCCAATCACTGGTCCCTGAGTAAACCTAGTTGAATGGGTCTGGATCATGGGCAGTCTCCATTCAACAGGACTTCATACTTCGGTGAATGGCACACACAGTCCTGCTACTTTGTTTTTGACCACAATTCCTTCTCCAGTATTTTTACACCCACAGAAAGTTCATCTGTATCTTTCCTGATTCAGCAACATGACACCAATACTTACTATACATGGAAGCCTGAACTGAATGCCCTAACCTCTGAACTGCTAAAGCACTACCCTTGATGGTATGCAACCCCCTACCCTCTACACACCTCTGTAGAAGAGCAATAACTACACACAAAGCCAGCAATGATATTAAGGATGTTACCTGTCAAATCAGCAGCTTCGGCTGCCTGGAACGTGCTGTAGGACATCAAGAAGAACAGGGCTGTCTCCAGCAAGGGAAAGTCTCGCACTTTGGTGAACTTCGTTAGCTAACAGTCGGGTTAAGGTCATGTAACATGACAAATTCTGGCTATCATCAATATAATTTTGCTTGACAATTTCACTACGGAGACCCGCCAATTTAAATTAGCTAGAACAAAACAAACATTTGATAAATTGCAATTAAAATTAAAAGAATGGATCTAAATGATTAAATACAACAAAAGAATGGTTTTATTAAAACTAAATTATAACTTTCACAATGGTTCACATAAATGAAGAATTAAAAGTAAAAAGTATAGATCCTTTTTCCTGCCTTAGGCACATCGGGCATAGGGGAAGAGCATCCCATATTTTTACAGACCAATCAACACTAGGTGGGTAATATGGTCATCATTATGCCGGCCGTCTTTACCTACCCAGGACAGCCATCCTATTTTAGACTGGGTCGATCTGCGACACCCCATGCCATGATAAAAATCAACGCAGCCAGCAGTGGGTTTTGATCGCTGTATGTTGGAATTACGAGTTGGACTTGCAACGCCTAAGCCACGGAGGCCGCAAATAAACAATTAGTCTAAATGAATCAGAAAGAGAAATAAATATTCGTCTATGAGAATTTAATTAAGCTGAGTCTAAAGACAGGTCTACCAGAAATTAATTAGACCATTAAAAAGGTCATTAGAACTAAATAGGTAGTTAGAACTACAAAGGTAATTATAACTAAAAAGGTAATTAGAACTGAAAAGGTAATTAGAAAAAAAAAGTAATTTGAACTAAAAAGAAATACAAGTTTGTTAAAATTAACTACTTTTTTCCTTCCTTCATTTTCTGTTTTACGACGCTGGACTGAAAACAAATATTACCATGAAAAAACCTCACACAAAAACCAAAAAAAAGTTTCTACTCACAAAGCAACCCCGTTAAACAGAGAAATATAATCACATCTCATACAAAAACATGTAGTCCAAAAAAGGACAAGGATACAATGGCAGTGATCACACCCATGAATGTGCCAATAGCAAAGGCTCCAGCAAACACACCAGCAAATTTTCCAATGGCACTGAAAAAAGCTTCAAGGTCAAAGGCATCTGCCGATAACTCTCCATAGGTCTCTACTGACCTGAAATAATCAAAAAGATACATGTCGTCTCAGTTCTTCTTCTTCTGCATGTGTCCTTCAAAGGGCGTCCGGCACAATATGTTGTGGCTTACAGCCAGGCTGCGACATCTGCACCTTGATGAATCAAGACATCCCTGTACTCCTAACATTCCCACACGTGCTCCGTCTCCTTCCTCAGTAGCCAACGAAGAGTCGATATGCTTATTACATGTTGCAAACTGGATTAAAACTCTGCCTTTGTTTTCCCTCAAGTGCTGATTTCTGCCAATCTTCCACACCCCCTGCCCAATTGTCTAATTAGTTTGTCAGTGTCTGGATACAGCAAGTGAAATGGTTTGCCCACTTAGAGAGAATGCCTTGTGACACCATACCATACAAAGCATACATGGAAAGAGAAGAAGGACTAGAGCACGGGGTAGACCAAGAACAAGATGGAAGGATAACATCAGAGAAACTCTACAACAGCACGACGTGCCTATGGTCGAGGCAGCCAGAAGAGCTAGAAACAGAACCTTATATCTTCCTCGACACCCACAGCGGTAAAAGAGGAAGTGAAGAAGAAGAAGAAGAAGTGTCTGGATACTTGGTCTGCCCTGTTACAATGTCTACTTGACCTCAGGGAGCCTACATCACTTTCCCTTGATCATATGTTTTAGTATCCAGAAGCTATGAGTTGTTAACCTTTAGGCTCGGTATCATGGATATTGCAACCTTTCGGCCTTGATTCCATTGTAAATACGGTAAATCTGGGAGAAATGTGGCTCTTCTGCCTACCCCCGGGAGTGAACCTGGACCACAAGGAGTTCATCACCCGGTCACTGCGCTATTCGGTTTAGCCAACTACGCTAGGGAGCCGGACCCCTTGATCATAACGTAGCTGACACCAAGAGGAGCGGCAGCAGCCAATCTATCAGCCTGCTCATTACCCCACACACCTGAATATCCTCGACAGAAAACCGATTTCAGCATACACTAATTAGTTAACTTTTACAAGATGCTTTTTTGTTTGCTGTGGGTCTATTTATCCCCCCTCCCCCCCCCCAAAAAAAAACAGGGCCCCGAGACCCACATAGGGAGTCATTTCCGTTACTGTTTGGCTCCTCATGTTGCTGATGAACACACACACAACTGAATATATAATGAAGCAAGTAAATGAATCCTTGAATAAAAATACAAAATCATTGATCTGGTAATCTGGTAATCCTAGTTTCAGCTTTATAGCAAACAGGTCACCCCATAGTTGCTCCGCTCCTGTGCCAACGAAAAACACACGCAGCTCAAAATGTCACGCCATGCACTCAACTCAGAAGCTGGGCGACGAAACTCTAAGACCAGAGGGCGGGTCGGCGGACCGACCTCATTAGGCCTTGCGGCCTCGAGGAGCTGCTCCCACGCCGAAACTGTCCCCATCATTGATCAAGGTTGTGCTTGGCCTGGTAAAACAGGTAGCTTCTATGAGTGGGGTTGATTCTGTATTTCAGTTAGAAGGGTTTATTTTATCTGCTGTATAAACTCCAATAGTTCTGTAGAATGCAACTGGCAAGAGACACCGCAATAATACCAGGCATTTAATAAACTGTGCAGTCTACTGTTTGTATCTTCTTTGTTTAAAAATAAAAAAGATAAACACTGCTGTAAATACATCATATGTTAGATAAAAAGTAAAAACTTGGTTTAGATCTGTATATGATACATACAAGACGACATCAAATTCAAACTTTAAAAGTGTGATAGAAATTGCAAGAACTACGTCAGTGTCTTGTAACCTGCCAATACTTTTGTTAAGGATGTCAAGAATGTTAAGCATGTCTCATAACTGCGCAATCAAACACGATGATGTCATAATTACAACTTAAATTATTATAACATGACACTGACCAGGGAGAGAACTCTCAAACACTTACTCTGATAAGACAATGGCTACAGCGTCATTCAAGACACTCTCCCCAAACACCAGGGCATACAGGTCCACATCCACATGGAGGTCGTTGAAGAGAGCCAGCACGGTAACTGTACACAGACACAGAATGACACCAAATATATTTAGCAACTAGTATACATGTTAATGCTCATTATATACCTAGTATTCAATAGTGACTTGGTTACTTTCTGTCATACAGAACACTCCTAGTAGCTATTATACATTTAAATGCTCATTATATCTACAAACATTCATTAACTGATGTCTGCGCAAAATAGAGGGAATTAAATGGTATGATAGAATCACTAATATTGAGCTTCTGGAGAGAACTAAACAAGTTCTAGTGGATCAAGAAGTGAAGAAAAGATGCTGTCTTTGCACTGGAACCCACAGGAGCTTAGAAATAAAGGTAAATTAAATTTTTTTAAACATGCAAGCAGAAGGGAGCTAGAGAATATGTTAATACGATGGGGAAGACATGGGGAGAGCTGCATGTTTTACCAAAGAAACAGAACAAACTTGCACTGAGTTGGTTTGGAAGGCTATGCTCCACTGGGGGGATAAAGGGGAAGAAGAAAATAAGGGTTTTATTTTAAAATNCTTTTTGCCTGGGCCCGGGGAAGGGAACCCCGACCCCCCAAGGATTTCTTTCACCCGGTCACTGCGAAAGGGGGTTTTTTTAGCCAATTTAACGCTAGAGACCGGGGGGCCCCTTGATCAAAAACGTAGCTGCCCCCAAAGGGGGGAGGGGGGCAGCAGCCAATCCTTTTCAGCCTTTTCTTTACCCCACCACCGAATCCCCTCGACAGAAAACCGATTTAACCCTACACTAATTAGTTAAATTTTTACAAGATGTTTTTTGTTTGCTGTGGGTCTTTTTATCCCCCCCCCCCCCCCCCCAAAAAAAAACAGGGCCCCAAACCCCAAAAAGGGGAGTCATTTCCTTTAATTTTTTTGGCTCCGGAAACTGTCCCCATCATTGATCAAAGTTGTGCTTGGCCTGGTAAAACAGGTAGCTTCTATGAGTGGGGTTGATTCTGCATTTCAGTTTAAAGGATTTATATTATCTGCTGTATAAATTTCAATAGTTCTGTAGAATGCAACTGGCAAGAGACACCGCAATAATACCAGGCATTTAATAAACTGTGCAGTCTACTGTTTGTATCTTCTTTGTTTAAATATGCAACAGACAAAAACTGTTATAAATGCATCATATATTGGATAAAAAGTAAAGAAAACTTGGTTTGAATCTGTATAGGATACATACAAGATGATTTCAAATTCAAACCTTAAAAGTGTGATAGAAATTGCAAGAACCACGTCAATGTCTTGTAACCTGCTAATACTTTTGTTAAGAATGTTAAGCATATCTCATAACTGCGCAATCGAACATGATGATGTCATAATTACAACTTAAATTATTATAACATGACACTGACCAGGGAGAGAACTCTCAAACACTTACTCTGATAAGACAATGGCTACAGCATCATTCAAGACACTCTCCCCAAACACGAGGGCATACAGGTCCACATCCACATGGAGGTCGTTGAAGAGAGCCAGCACGGTAACTGTACATAGACAGAGAATGACACCAAATATATTCAGCAACTTGTATACATGTAAATGCTCATTATATACCTAGTATTCAATAGTGACTTGGTTACGTCAAACACTAGCTATATACATTAAATGCATTATATACCTAGTATTCAATAGTGACTTGGTTACTTTCTGTCATACAGAACACTCCTAGTAGCTATTATACATGTAAATGCTCATTATATACCTAGTATTCAATAGTGACTTGACTTGGTCCTACTATTCTGTCATTATTATACCTAGTATTCATAGTGACTTGGTTACTTTCTGTCAAACAGAACACTCATTATATACCTAGTATTCAATAGTGACTTGGTTACTTTCTGTCAAACAGAACACTTCTAGTAGCTATTATACATGTAAATGCTCATTATATCTACAAACATTCATTAACTGATGTCTGCACAAAATAGAAGGAATGAAATGGTATGATAGAATCACTAATATTGAGCTTCGGGAGAACTAAACAAGTTCTAGTACAAGAAATAGTGGACCAAAAAGTGAAGAAAAGATGCTGTCTTTGCACTGGAACCCACAGGAGCTTAGAAATAAAAGGTAAAATAAATTTGTAAAAACATGCATGGAGAAGGGAGCTAGAGATTATGTTAATAAGATTTGGGAGACATGCGGAGAGCTGCATGTTATAGCAAAGAACAGAACAACTTGTCATGAGTTGGTTGAGGCCTATGCTCCACTGGGGGGATGAAAGGCAGAAGAAGAAAAATAAGGTTATATTATAGTAAAAGGTGACTAATCAGTGGCTGTTTTCTTCAAAATCAGAGTGTATCTGCTTGAGGAAAAAACCAACAGTCTGCATATAAAAAAAAGAAAGATCTGTAAAAAGGACTGCATAAAACTCGAGTTTTAGAACAAGATTGAAGTCCAGAAGTGGATGAACAATTTAAGCCAGAACTTTCAACCAGAGTTTACATCCGGTGAGAAGAAGAAGAAATGACTTTTCATCAGTATAAAACAAACCATTTCTAGGAGCTAGACAGAGAGACAGAGAGAGAGAGAGAGAGAGAGGTGGGGGGGGGAGAGAGAGAGAGAGAGCTAGAGAGAGAGGAGAGATAGGGAGTGAGTGATGTGTGTGCATGTGCGCATCATTAGCAAATTAAAGTCCCATATGCACGTCTGTCAGCCCAGTAAGTGTATGTGAAGAGCAGGAAGGTTCAAAATAGTGCGACTTTTGTGACAGACAATTCACCACTATAAATTGGGGGGGAAGGGGGGGGGGGGGATCTGACTTATTGTGAAATCAAATCTGAGACCTTTGGGCTGACAGGCGTGAGTCTAGCCGCTTAGCTAATGCAACTCACTTATATACAGGATGTATTATTTATTTATGCAAAACATACCACCAGACTTGAGACAACAGAACAAAAGAACACAAAGAGTGTTGTCTACACAATTCAAATCATTGATCCTATTACTCACCAGGATCTGTGGCAGACAGATAAGCTCCGAACACAAAACATTCATTCAGGGTGATTGAGATGCCTGTCATAAGTCTTGTCAGACCAAACATAATACCCCTGCAACAGTTTCAATACAATAGTAGTTTAGGATAACAGTAGTTTCAGTAGGATAACAATACCTTTAACATCCTCTCATTAATTTTAACAAAGCACTGCTTCCCTTTGACACACCCTCTTATTCATTCAGTCAGTTTAGGATTCTGTGTACTGACTGTCACAGACCGTAACCCTGTGGCTCTGAGAAGCAGTAAACCTGGCATTTCAGTCTGTGTCATAAATGTTGCTAGCCCAGCCAGAATTCTGTCAGTGATCTGAACTCTGACTAACCGTCCGTCTACTGTTGTCTACCGGCCGTAGTTTACAGGAGAGCCCTGGATCTACCTCAATGCCTGTATAATTCATGTCCCACCTGCACATACCTCACAAATACCCACTCACATAATTTACATCTACCAACTGCTCAGACACAAAGACAGACAAACCGACACTCAACCATACCGAGGTTATGAACACACTTACCCAATGACCAGGGCTGATATAGTCGTCCCAATAAGTGCATACATTAAAATTGCTCCCAGGTTCTTGAAGAAATGTTTCTGAAACAATAAACATGGGCAGTCAATTTTTGTGGGCATTTTATGAGAAGGAAGGGACTCAAGAAGTTGGTGACAACTGGCAAGATTGATGGATAAAGAGCAAGAGGAAGGCAAAGCAATAAATACCTAGATGGCTGGCCAGATTCATGGGGCGAGACATGAACATTCTACTCTTCTTCTTCTTCTTCTTCGCGTTCACCAGCTGTAAATTCTGGCGGAAGGTTCTGGTTGCTCGTTCGCTACTGAACTGCAGTCCTGCTCCAGAAGCTGAGTGTTGCATGTGCATCAGTTTTACAAATCTCATTCTCTTGAATACAGACTGTTGGTTCCTTGCCTCTCCGGCAGATGCACTCCGACTTCTAAGGAAGCTCCCCAATTAGTTGACTCTTACGACATGCTTTTGGGGAGGCAGTGGGTCTATTCTTGTTTTCCCCACAATGGGGCCCCAGAACCCACTGGGGGGAACATTCTACTGATCCGTGATTCTGGTGATCGTGTGAGATAGCAAAACATGACAGCCTATGCTTACAGGCTCGGCACATGATGACGAAACAAATACAATAAATTTAATCTTATTATCATCATTTTGGGATGTCAGTGGCCCTATATTGACGCATTTCTAGGGAAAGAGTGAACCGTCACTAGTGCTTGTTACCGTGACATGTTAAAGAACAAGATTAAGCCTCCGATCCCATCGAAACACTGGGGTCTTGTCTTAAAACGATTTTTCTTCCTGCATAACAATGCCGACCCCCACATGGCTGCACATACAATGGGTACACAGACTGCGGTTTGAAGTACTGAAACATCCAGCATTCAGCCCAGACTTGGCACCATCAGACTTTTTATTTGGTTGGCCCACTGAAAGAACCTTTGCGGAGCCAGAAATGTGCAGATGACAATGAGGTGATGTCGATGGTGCAAACTTGGTTTACTGGCCACAGCCAAGAGCTTCTACCTGGGGCTGAAAGAAAGGGGATGGGAGGACCTGAATTATGTGGATCAATGGATGTCATGTGTTGCAAGGCAAGATTTTGTTGAGAAATAGGAAACTGAACAATTTTGTTCCGGCCGCTTGTTAAAAAAAAATTAATAATGCAATTGCCTTAATGACTTTCCCTCGTAGCATTCAGAGAGGTTTCCTTGTGAATACAACAGCATTTTTTAAAGCTAGTCTAACTTAAACTGTTTACTGATTGTGGTGTAAGTTTGTGCAAGATTCAGAAAAGGACAAAAACTGACACAGAAATGACAGCCAGAAGGACATGTGCAAATTTTTAATAACTACCATTCCTCGAGAAGAGACAAATACATGGATTTTCTGTTTCTGTATAGCACAAAAACTAACAAATATAAATCCAGAAATAACTCACCCGTTTCATACTGTATCCTGCCTCAAATATTATAACAGGAAGCATCACGTTAAAAAAAAGTTCCGGGGAAAATGTAACCTTGAAAGAATAAAACAAAATTTCCATTTTTTTTTTTTAAACTGAGGCAACAGTGATGTCAAGGAAACTAGCATGTGATGCAAATTTATAGAAATAAATATTTACTGAGTGATTTTATATGTAGCCAGCTGTCTTCATTGTCTTGAATTTCCTTCTGAGAAAACACGGCGGTATTCAGTTTAGACCACGGTCAATGGCCTTTACAGTCACAATCTTAAAAATATGTGGTCAGCGGACCAGTATCGGCCACTATGGAAACCAAACAAACTGAATGAATGTCACTTGTGCCCTTTTCTCAAACCTATCTATGTACATCCAATCCTTCACAGGATTTTTTAAGCTCTAAGCAGCAGATGTCGCATACTAAAATGTTTTAGTTTTATAACATTTTTAAGCAATGGCAAATTACTTCTTCTTCTTCTTCTTCTCTTCCACCTTGTACCTCAGTGAAGTGTCGGGGGAGATGTAATGTTCATTGATGAGCTCTGTCAAGGGCACTATTAAAACTGATGTTCATTTCTGTAAGGTTGTTCTTAATGCCATCACTCCATCTTTTCCGAGGTCTTCCACTCGGTCTATACCCGTTGTAACGTTTTAGTGTGGCTCGCTGTGGCAGATAGTACCAGGGCATTCTTGTTAGGTATCCAAACCCCTTCATCTGTTGTTCTTTGATGACCAGTAAGACTTTATTTGTAGCATTCGTCTGATTTCATGATTTCGTATTCTATTACTGAACGTAAAAATGCCTAGCAAATCCAAATAACCAAAAAATGCTAAAGTATGCTCTGCAAGTTTCTGTAAAGGACATGCAATTTTTGCATTTAATAAATAAAATGCTATTTGTATTTGTTTCTGGCTTCGACGCAAAAATATTTCTCCTATTTATCTGGCCTAGGGTTGTATGAAGTACACTGCCGTACAGGATGTAAAAATTGTCTAGTAAGACCATCAACAGCAAACAAATGCAGGGGTCAGTTTGCAATAGACTGTAAAAGAAGCAATTAACTTCTTTTTCTTCTTTTGTCGTCTCACTGTAACCAGGCTGTAGCAGTGTCATGGTTTTTAAATCTCACTGTTAGCAGGTTGTAGCCGTGTCACGGTTTTGACATCTCACTGTTACCAGGTTATAGCCCAGTGTCATGGTTTTGACATCTCACTGTTAGCAGGTTATAGCCCAGTGTCATGGTTTTGACATCTCACTGTTACCAGGTTGTAGCCGTGTCATGGTTTTGACATCTCACTGTTAGCAGGTTATAGCCCAGTGTCATGGTTTTGACATCTCACTGTTAGCAGGTTATAGCCCAGTGTCCTGGTTTTGACATCTCACTGTTACCAGGTTATAGCCCAGTGTCATGGTTTTGACATCTCACTGTTAACAGGTTATAGCCCAGTGTCATGGTTTTGACATCTCACTGTTACCAGGTTGTAGCCGTGTCATGGTTTTGACATCTCACTGTTAGCAGGTTATAGCCCAGTGTCATGGTTTTGACATCTCACTGTTAGCAGGTTATAGCCCAGTGTCCTGGTTTTGACATCTCACTGTTACCAGGTTATAGCCCAGTGTCACGGTTTTGACATCTCACTGTTACCAGGTTATAGCCCAGTGTCATTATTTAGTAGTCTCACTGTAACCAGGTTGAAGCCCAGTGTTGTGGTTTTGTCCTCTAACTGTAACCAGGTTGAAGCCCAGTGTTGTGGTTTTGTCCTCTAACTGTAACCAGGTTGAAGCCCAGTGTTGTGGTTTTGTCCTCTAACTGTAACCAGGTTGAAGCCCAGTGTTGTGGTTTTGTCCTCTAACTGTAACCAGGTTGTAGCCCAGTGTTGTGGTTTTGTCCTCTAACTGTAACCAGATTGAAGCCCAGTGTTGTGGTTTTGTCTTCTAACTGTAACCAGGTTGAAGCCCAGTGTTGTGGTTTTGTCCTCTAACTGTAACCAGGTTGAAGCCCAGTGTTGTGGTTTTGTCCTCTAACTGTAACCAGGTTGAAGCCCAGTGTTGTGGTTTTGTCCTCTAACTGTAACCAGGTTGTAGCCTAAGGTCGTGGTTTAGTCTTCTCACTGTAACCAGGTCGTAGCCCAGTGTCGTGGTTTTCTGTATTTGTCTTGTGCTTCTCTGGTGGCTTGGCTGATGGATTTGTTCATCTTTTTTGCAGGTTTCGACTACAACATTTATCCATCCATTTCTTGGTCTTCCCCTCATTTTGCTGGAAGGGAGATATTTGAGGGTCTACCCAGTGAAGCTAATTGGCAGGTGACAGCATTTGCCTTCTGTACTCTGGTTTCTATCTCTCAATCAGGTAATTAACTAACATCAACAAAGAGAGTCTGGAACGAAGTAAAGGTTGCAGAACAAAAAAAAAACAAACCAACAACTCACAGTTCGTTCAAGAGGAGGCTCCTCGAGACTTCCCAGAGCACCCTTGAGAGCATAAATGACTTTATCATGAGGAGCACCGGACGTGTTGCTGCGGTTGAGATACACAGTGATATAGTCTGGTGGGTCTAAAGAGGTGAAGGTCCTGTTATCATCCAACACAGCTTGCACACTTGGAAGATGTTTGGCATCACTGGTGTAACGGATAATGGCCCCTACAATTAAACCTGAATCCACACACACACAAAACAGGGTTTGATTAATCAATAACAAATATAATTAATTAACCACACTGTGGGAGACGCTGTTCTCGTTCCCCCCACCCTTTCTTCTCCTGTGTGCACCAGCTGTGAATTTAGGCAGAGAATCCAGGTTAGTTGTCTGTGCAAGAACATTGGTTTATTCCACGACTTGAGTTTTACATGCGCGTCCGTTTTTTAAGTCGCATATTAGTGGTTCCTCACCTTTTTTTTGCAGACTGTTGGTTCTCTCAGGCGATGCACTCCAACATAGAAGGAAACACCCCTAATTAGTCAGCCTGTTAAGCCATGTTTGTGTGGGGGATGATCTATTCTTTTGTCCCCACAATGGGGCCCCAGAACCCACACCAGGTTAATAATTCAACTGTTCCCCTACGCTTGCACACTCTAACTTCAGACTAACACCTGCCACATGACTTCATTACAGAAATCATTTCAGCCGGTCAGAATCAATAGTTTCCACAAACAGTGCTGCAGAAGAGCACATGAGCAAACCACTAATAGAAACATTAACATTTAGACAACTCTACACAGCTGAGGCAGTCTGGTGCAGTAACCTGTAACACAATGTTTATTAATATAACCTTCTTCTGTCATTCAGTCCCCTTTTTGTTAGTTTGGTGGTTAGAAAAAGAAGGAAAAGGGGGGGGGGGGGGGAGGGGGGAAGGTAACCTACTACCCCTCAACAAGCATGTCATAAACGGCAAATAATTAAGGTTTGGGCTAAAAAAAAAATGTGCTAGGCTGAAACGTGCAGATATCGCAACCTAGCTGTAAACCCCCACACAGAATGCCAAGCACCATTTTTAAGGGTGAATAAAGAAGAAAGAGACATGAAGAGATAAACTGTGGTATAAAAGGATCTATATTTATGTTCCAAAAAACTATTCAAAATATTTAAGGCCATGAATACCAGTATCTACACAGCAGACACCTAGGCTCACACCAGATACCTCTTCAAAATTTGACAGTGAAAGGAAAAACACAACTAAAGAATAAAAAGAAGATGACTATTTGAAAACTGAAACAAAGTGAAACAACAAGATTTCCTTAACACTGATATGAAAAATCTTGGGACAAAGCTGGTTACAAACAGGAATCTGCAATGGGATTACAAAGAGAAGCCCCGTGCAATTTACAATACATTTCTTGATTACACTATGTATGATCTTCTTCATCTTCCCTTTAATCCAGGGTTCAGCATAGTCCCTCAACCAACTTAACGCCAAGTCGACCTATCTTTTGCAGGCAGCTCACCCCATGATCTCCCTACCTTTTTAATTTCACTTACTCCCTTCACTATGTGTTTTTTTTTTTTGACTGCCCTTATATCTAGGCCCCTGTGGGTTCTAGTGTAGAGTTCTTCTAGTTATATAATCATCTCTCAGAATGTATCCTACCCAATGCCACCATCTTTTCTTCCCCTCTTGATACCCTATATATGGCAGACATTTTGTAACTCACCCTGTCCCTTGTTCTGTCGAGTTAATCCCTGACATCCCAGTTGCTACTGTAAACTCATTATGCCCTACTGTTGTATTATTGTAACTCTTAAAGAGTAAAATACTACAACAATTTCTAAACCGCTGGTCTCCAACATTGCTTTTTTTTTTTTAAAGTGGAATATAAGGCACTACCACCCAAGCCACGCCCCCCACCCCCCACCTTTTCCAAAAATAACACAATGTGATTAACATGAGGAGGACAAACAGAAAGATCCAAAGTACTGTTAACAAGAACTTGGAGAAAAAAATACAAATCAGTGTCTCATAAACATGAAAGTTTTGTTTTGATGACTTCTGCGGCTATCTTTCGAATAACTGTCCCAAATTATCGAGGCCAAAAATATACCCTAACAGGGCTCAGTCACATGTAAATTGCGGACTTCCACCACCGCCGAGAGTATCTGCCACGCCGCTACGCGCGGCGTGGGGGGGCTAAACTAGATGGCTGGGACTCACGAGCAAATAAAATGAAGGAAGCAGCAGGAGATGCGGTAGCTGCTGCTAGTGAGTCCCAGCCATCTAGTTTAGCCCCAATCCACGCCACGCGTAGCGGCGTGGGAGATACTCTCGGCGGTGGTGGTAGTCACGGGAAGTGTGCAATTTAAGTTGCCGTAAGTCCGCAATTTACATATGACTGAGGCCCTGTTAGGGTATATTTTCGGCTTCAATATTGGGATCGTTATTCGGAAGATAGCCACTTCTGCTATTTGTGGTCTGGTGTTGGACAAGGAACAATGGAGATTACTCCCCTATATCAAGCTGGAAATGCTGTAAATATTCTCAATTTAAAAACAGCTTTCTTTTAAACTTTCTCACGGTAGGGGGGAGGGAGGGAGGGGGGCCAGGGAGTACGGACATATTGGAGACCACTGCCTAAACTACAACAAACTGTGGGATAGAGAGTATTTCTTCTTCTTTTTCTTTTTGTTCAGCACTCAGAGTGTCGACAGAAAGAAGGATAGTGCTGAAGATCCGTGTAGAAAGTTCTGGTTGTTCATCCATTTCTGGACTCTGGTCTTGTTCCAGAAATTGAGTTTTGCATGCGCATCTGTTTTACAGATCTAGTTTACTTGAATGATGAATGCAGACAGCTGATTCTTCAGCTTTCAGGCACTCCGACTATGAAGAAACTCTCCTAATTAGTTGCCTTTTAATGACATGCTTTTTAGGGGGCCAGCGAGTCTATCTACCCCCCCCCCCCCCCACTTTCAACTGGGGCCTCATTCACCACACCGAGACTAGTTTTTTTTTTATGTCTTGCACTAAACGAGTAAGAAACACTAAAAGAGAGATTTCCTGATTTTCTGACAGTAACACCAACAGAGTCCAGGGACAGAGTCCACGGAAAAGATTGTAGTCTCACACGGTAATATTTAAAAAGATACACTGTAGCCAACCTTAACTTTGGAAAACTGTGGCTTAAGCATTGCAAACACAAGAATATATGCGAGAATTCGGTTCTCCTAGCAGATTTGGACGCAAGCGGGACGGCTTCGGTCACTTTAGTGGGAGTTTTCTCCATTGGCCGCACTCAAAACAAGTAGCGGAAAAAGTCACGAATCAAATGACATACTTACCTATCATCATCCGGGTGCGTGTAGGGTTGCGTACGGTTGCGTCTAGGGTAACCTATCATCATACGGTTGCGTGTAGGGCTTCGTAGGGTGTCTATCATCATCCTACGGTTGCATGTAGGGTTGCGTAGGGTGTCTATCATCATCCTACGGTTGCGTGTAGGGTTGCGTAGGGTTAGGGGTTAGGGGTAGGGTTAGATGTGAAAATTTGGTCTAAATAGTGGCCGACAATCTGATGCTTGTGGGAGTGGCGCCACTGAAATTCTGCCAAATATGACGCCAATAGAGGGCAGCTGGTGCCCAATCGGTGGCAAATTGTCTGTGTCAGTAGCATCCACCGTCCGTCGACTGTTTGAGTGTGTATGTGATTGTGCGCGATTATAGGGAACTACGGCGTCAAAATTGTCACATCTAACGCTAAACCTAACCCTACCCCTAACCTTAACCCTACCCCTAACCGCAACCCTAATCCTAACCCTAATCCTACCCCTAACCACGCAAATTTATCGGTCATTAAAGCATACAGATCGGCAAAACACAAACACACACACACACAAAACCCAGATATCCCCGCAGCGTCAAAAAAAACCCCAGATCTGGGGGACACACCCAAGCATTGGCAGCCCTGATGTCGACCTCACTGTCTTGTTTGATTCGTGACTCTTTCCGCTACTTGTTTTGAGTGCGGCCAAGGGAGAGAACTTCCACTAAGGCGACCGAAGCCGTCCAGCTTGCGTCCAAATCTGCTAGGAGAGCCGAGAATTCTTTTCTTAATCTCCAATGACATGGATTTATTATACAAAATCTTCTGTTCTATTCTGGTCTTTAAATAGCATGTCGTAAAAGGGAAATCTAAAGATGTGAATCCTTCAAAGTCAGAGTGCATCTGCCTGAGAGAGTTGAAGAACCAGACAGACTAAACAAATATTTTTTATAAATGATTTTGAAAATTTGACTAAAGTGGCTACAGAACTGCATGCAAAATGCAAGTTATGGAACACGGCCAAAGTCCGTAAGTGGACGAGCAGCCAGAACTTTGCATCGGAATTTACAGCCGGTGAACGCTAATAAGAAGATTTGCTCAACTAGGTCTCGTGACTTCTGATCATCCAGAAATGTCAACTTTCGTCTGCTACCAGCTACCAGATCACGAAAATCAAAACGAACATAAGAAGGTAAGAGGGTTCTGGTCGCCAAGGCTGCCCCAGTCCATGCACCTGCAGACGGTGTCTTCATCTACCTAACAAGTAAATCACTAAAAATAATCACGAAAAACTCACCGTAAATCATAGACAACCCTGTCTCATGCACAAACCGAAACCGCCGATGTTTAAACAACCACACAGTCAAGATTGTCAGCAGAAGCAGTCCCAACAACATGAGAATCGTTAAACTGTCCGTCCTGTGTTGCAGCACTGCCCTCTGCTCATAAGAGGGTTCCAGATTCTTGTCCCGAAAAGTGACGGCCATAGTGCCTGATACTAACAAAACACAACACAAAAGTGAAATGTATATTGGTGTTGTTGTCAACACGGAACATGGTACCCTCTTCGCCATTTTGATAACTCCTACCGGAATTACTTCCGGCAGGTCACGGAATTTGCTGATGGCTCCATCCGTGACTGTCGCTCACCTTCCCAGGGGCGATGGCGACCATGTCTGTTACTTTGGTAACCCACAGACATGAAGAATTTGAAAAATAATGGGGGAAGGGGTTAATGATGCAGCTATGCCCTCCCCCCTTTCCTTAGCTTTAAAAGCAGGTCGCTTCAACTATTTTTAGAGATGCTTTTTAATAGTCTTTGTTTACACATTTCAAGACAATAACGATCACGTGATCCTCCATGGGGATCGTTACCATATTTTATTTTTGTTGTAGATTACGGAAAATTTCCAAGGCTATGGAAGATGTATATCGTGCCCCTTCCCTTGATGCCCTCAGCACGTCCTTATGTTTGCTTGAAGGTTAATCCACACCTGGTCACAACGGAAGGAATCCCTTTGTCTATCAGGATTGTGTTATCACCACTTCTTACTTACATTAGTAGAAACTTGGTTGACTTATTCGTGTCAGGAGACAAAACAAAATAGCTTTCACTTGTCATACCTAAGAAGAATCATCATCATGTGCCCTGCCAACTCGCGTAGGCGCTCATGCGTCTCCACAAATCATAATCCCTGGTTGCCTGGAAGAGCTCTCTTGATGATATCCCTTCATGCCACCGTTTCAGCCCATCTTTCTTGGTCTTTCTTGGTCTTCCTCTACCCCTTTTTCCACTGACCTTTCCAATTATCACCATGTTCTCCAGTGTCTCCTTCCTCATTATGTGGCCAAAGAACAGTGCTTGTCTCTTTATTTTTGTTGTACATAGAGATCTACTTTCATTATATTCTTTTAAGCAATCGTTGTTAGTTACTCTGACCGTCCAAGGTAATTCAAGATAATGCTCGCTCAGAGGATTGGATCATTTATACAGACGGTTCAGTGTCAAGAGGCAAAAGAAGTGCTTGGGGCTTCTTAGCAAAAGTTAATGGTCGACGTTTGGTGCAGGAGAGCCTAGCATATGATACCACAACATCCAGCTTAAGAATGGAGGTGGAGGCGGTCACTACAGCTTTCCGATGGCTACAGAACTCGACACACACACACACACACACACATCGTGATTGTAACTGATTCAGAAAACATGCTGAGGAAGATGAGAACAGGTATGCTTCGTGCAGAGTGGCATGCTTCGCTGCGGAGGACATGAGTGAGGTGTAGTGTCTGGATTTTTTCTCCGGGTCACGCCTGTGTGTTGGGAAATGAACATTCGGACAGACTGGCTGGCTCTGCACAACTTGGTGGAATACTGATACATGATAAGGCAGACGTGATTAATGCCTTGTGGGAGACCGTGTACAATTCGGAGGAGCAGATGGATCACCACAGTGTGGTTTGACTGAAGCAGTTGGGAGTGACAAGAGGTTCTGGCAGATGCTCGAGGCTCAGAGGAAAGGCAAGACGGACGTTTAATCAGAATGCTACTGGCACCATTAGTATCGGAACTCTTCACCGGCTGCTGAAGATGGGGACGGAGCGCTGATGGGAATACCCCGAGTGCTGTGATGTCGGTTCTTGAATCAAATCAAATCAAATCAACCGTCCAATGTATTCGTAAGATTTAAGAAGAATACTCGGCATCAAATCGCACGACAAGATGGCACACACTAAAATATTGAAAATCGCGCTGCAAACAAGGAAGTTTTCTAAGTGCTCAATGTTAACTTTGCAGTCGCTGTGGTGTAGCAGCTAGACGCTTCACGGTGGATCCGATGGTCGTGGGTTCGAATCCTAGGGGAGCTGGACTATTTTATTTTTGTTCAAAAAAAAAAAAAAACCTTGGCTCTCGAGTGAGCCCAGCCTTGAGTAGTTACCAGGTTAAGTCCTGGCAAGTAATGGACGTGCCACCTTGAGTAGTTACCAGGTTGAGTCCTGGGAAGTAATTGACGTGCCACCTTGAGTAGTTACCAGGTTAAGTCCTGGGAAGTAATTGACGTGCCACCGAATGCCTATTGGTTAAAAAAAATAGATAGATCTAGCATCTCAATACGACTGAGGTCTTGGAGAAGGGCCCTTTACTTACTTGTTCAGTCTCAACTTCTTGACTCTTCGCGGTGATTAAAACAACGACATGGACAACATACCAACGTTGAGAAACAACAAGAACAATATAATTTGAATGTCTTTACATTGAAAGCAACAGTGCCTTAGAAATAAAGGCAGACAGAAAGTATGAAGAGGGTACATAGAGAGTGACGTTTAATAGACTGAGATGAAATGGAGTGAGCTGCAAGAGTAACTAACAACGATTACTTGAAAGAAGCTAATGAAAGTAGATCTCTATATACAACAATAAGAAAGAGACAAACACTGTTCTTTGGCCACATAATGAGAAGAGAGACATTGGAGAACATGGTGACAACTGGATGGATCAGTGGGAAAAGGGGTAGAGGCAGACCAAGAGAGAAGATGCTGCATGAAGGGCATGATATCATCAAGAGAGCTGTTCCAGTCAACCAGGGATCGTGATCATTGGAGACGCATGAGTTGGCAGGGCACATGATGATGATAATGATGATGATGCAAGAGATAGCTAAGAACAGACGACGTGACCTGACTGGTTAGTGAGGTAGTTGACGAAATATGCTCCATGGGCGGATAAATAGATGAATAAGTCATAATATTGATCCTTATGCTGGTGATATTAATAGACAGTAAATGATAGCCATATCCATTGGTCGACCTAACGAGTTGTGTAACACACCACACGCGGGGTATCAGATGCCATCAACTCGGTTGATTTGTATTCAGGCGCAGCGAGAGGCATGGCATGTTGTAAACTTCATTGTAACACAGTATAACACAATAACTACCAATTGCTGCCTCTACTAGCAGGCGCGCCGCCACGATGAAAACAGCCTCCCACCCCAGATGTTATCTTTATGGCGTCGGCATCACTACAGAAAGCTTAGGCTAGGGGTGGGAAATCTTTTTGTGAGAGGTGGGGGGGGGGGGGGGGGTCCACTTGCTAAATGTAGAAAGACTAACCTGGTCACGAACCATATAGAAATAAAAACCGTAATGAACATAAAACTCAGATTTTCCTCTGTTGGTGAAAAATTTGTGAAGAAAATCTAAGATTATGATTCCTCTTCACGCTTTCGGACAGACACACTCAACCACTGAAGCTCTTTTATATATTCATAATTATCTGTTCAAGCTGTCTATCTGCACAAATTATATTACTGGGGGAAAGGTGGTGGGGGGGGGGGGGGGTGTCGGATACATTATGTAGTAATTTTACGTCAGCCTCGGGGGCCAGTAAAAACTGCTCCGCGTACCACGTTTGGCCCGCAAGCCATAATTTGCCAATCTCTGGCTTAGACTCATCTAGGCGTCCCCCACCCCTCCTTTCCACACCCAGAAAATATGTAAGGGGCTCAGCCGCCACAATTTTTCTCACGTTTTCTTAGTGTCGGCGCCACCGCCCATCATCGCTTATAATATCGTCCTAATATTATTGGAGACACATTTAAAAAACGCACCCCCCCCCCACCCCCCCTCCTTACCTTTAAAAAAACCGACTGCTTATACTTTTATAAACTCATGACTTATCTTAGCATCTTGAAAATCACGTTGAACCTTATGAAATAGTTATATGAAGACACCCTACGCCTATCTGCTATCAAATGTGTCTATTTTTTTTTGTTTTTTTACTTTTTAGTTGCAGCTCCCCTTCTTCCCCCCCCCCCTCCCGCCCCTTTTGCAGAATTGCAGTCTGTAGGATTAGCATCTCAATGATGAGAATCAAACCGGTACAAATACCGTCAACAATGTAGCCGGTTTTTTTTAAAGATCTATCGGGCATCACAAAACGGTTACAACGTAACCTGTAGTCTAGCACGAGTGGATCTTGGTGTTGTTAAACAATGTCTACATTAATAACATACTGACCAATATACACTAGTTAAACATAGTTTGTTATTTGGCACTGATGGGGTGTGTTCTACTCTTTTTTTTTTTGTAGTGCAGGCCGTATGGCGTTCGATGGCAGTCATGTCTACCCACATAACCAGGGCCCGATTAAAAACCCTTTGATGTTTTCAACACTTTTTTTTTTTCAACCAATATATTTTGGTGCCCGCCACTGTGTCCAGCAGGCCCTCGAGTTAAGACAGCACTGGTGCCCCCATATAAAAGTAAAGTAAAGATCCCTTTTCACGCCTTTCGGCGCATCGGGCATATCGGCAGAGCGTCCCATATTTTTACAGACCATCAGCACTCTGTGGGTAATGTGGTCAGCATTACGCCGGCTGTCTTTACTTTCCCAGGACAGCCCATCCTGGTACCCATTTTAGGCTGGGTCGACCTGGCCCCCATATATATGTAACTGAAAATATATTCAATACTAAATGTATTCCTGGAAATTAAAACTTCCAGTAAGATGGAAAAGTTTTTTTTTTTTTTAAGAATATACTTCCACTTTATGAATATTTGAAAGGTTTTCTTCTACTTTTTTTTTTTTTTAAATTGTAAAGTCTATGATCATATTCACAAACTAAAATTATGTGACCTATCTGTTACTAAAATTAATAAAGACACGGCCACTAGCAAGCATTGTTGCCTTGTTATTCTGATAGAATTTTAAATACACTGTTAAGCTCAGAAAATGTACGCTCAGCTCCAAGGCTATTGAAAGATGACGTGGTGCCCTCTTTCTTTGTGATGCCTAAGCACGTACTTAGTGTGCTTAATGGTTAATTCAGTTCTGCACAAAATTATGTCTCGTGTATTTTTAATCAGTTCGCTGTAGACGATCTTCAATGCCATGATATCAAAATGGCCAGCATCTTCTGTTTTGGTCTTCCTCTGCCTCTGTTCATGATTGATTTCTGTATACAAAAATATAATTTATATCGCTTCCATA